CCTGCCGGAGCGGCCAAGCTCAGCTCGCCGTGATGCCCATCGCTCCCGAACCAAACCCTGCCCCAAAGCACGGCCTTTGCCAGGAGTCCCGCTGGGGTTTTGAGTCGTGAGTCGGTTTTGGGGTGTAGGGTGGGCGTGCAACAGTCACGCTGGCTTTTTCTTTCAATGTGGGATCCTTTTGAAAGCAATTTGTGGGGTTAGAGAAGGGATTAGAGAATACTGTCCGGCCAAAAGGGAGCGTGTGTCAGGCCTCAGCAGGCTGCATAAGAGCTGAACCTCGTTGAATAAACTATTTATTACAAGCCATTTCCTCACATCCCTTTTTTTTCCTTCTTTTTACTTTCTCTTTCTCTCTCTCTCTCTTTCTCTCTCTCTCTTTCTCTCTCTCTCTCTTTCTCTCTCTCTCTCTTTCTCTCCTTCTCTTTCTCTCTCCTTCTCTTTCTCTCCTTCTCTTTCTCTCCTTCTCTTTTTCTCTCCTTCTCTTTCTCTCCTTCTCTTTCTCTCCTTCTCTTTCTCTCCTTCTCTTTCTCTCCTTCTCTTTCTCTTTTTCCTTAACAGGCAGGATTTAAGCTTTAAAGGCAGAGTTTATCTGGCAGATGACCCAGCAGTGTGTGTCTGTGGGGACGATAATTGAAGTTAATTGAAAAAAGCAGCTTTGGAGAAATGCTCTTTGACTGGCAGGTCTCCGTTCAGCCCTTTGGAGAGCTGGAGAAGCCAGAGCTGTTCTGAGCACATTTCTCCTCGGGCTCGGCAAATTGCAGTCGATCGGCCAAGGAAACGCTGGGAACGTCTGTGGTATAGATGGCTTATAATTTGGTTAAATGCTTAGAGTCAGACAGAAAGGGCAAGAAAATTGCATTATTTAGAATGGGAAATAATTATCTTAGAGGAGTGATGAATAAGCACTTTGAGGACGGATTTTAGCAAAAGAAAATTCTTGCTTTTGCTGCAAAGGCTGAACTGTATTCAAATGTCTTGCTAAGCCAGGCTGAGCCCACGTTAGGTTATCCTGTGTGGCCAGTGGCTTCAGGGATTGGGATTAGGGGGTTTCTGTTCTGACAGCTTCGTTTCCCTTCGCCCTCCCCAGACATGATCCTGGGCCAGCAAGAACAGTCCGCGGAGTTTGACGAGCGCATGCGGGCGAAAGTTCGAGAAGTTCTTTTGAAGAAGCATCACCATCAGAACGAGAAGAAAAGAAACAACCTTCTCCCCACCGTCCGCTCCTTTGCTGATGTTGGAGAGAGGCAGTCGGACCCGCAACTCCTCGACAAGCCGGGTGAGGGTTCCTACAGGGTTTGGCACCAGGGGAAGGTTCCCGCAGGTTTTTGGCCCCTTTAGACTTATCCTGGTGAAGGAGGAGTGACCCAGTTGCTCCTCGTCCATCTTTCTGAGTGTTCCTCTTTTTCCTCCCAGCCCAAACACTCACCCCTCATCCTTCTCCCACCACTGCAGAAGCTAAAAACGGGATGAACCTTGAGACCAGCCCAATGGATTTAAGCAAGGTCAGACGCTCACAGATTTCTTACGCCTTAGGGCCAGACCTGCTCTTGCAAACTTGGCTGCAGAGCGCTGTGGGCTTTGGTGTTGGGGTAATTGCTTAAAGATCGTTTATTGTGCCCAGGCGGAGCTGCACTTCATGAAGAAAATTCCCATTGGGGCTGAAGCATCCAACGTGCTTGTCGGAGAGCTGGATTTCCTTCACCGACCCATCGTGGCGTTTGTCCGCCTGAATCCGGCTGTCCTCCTCCCTGGCATGACGGAAGTTCCCATCCCAACAAGGTCCAAATGAGAAGCACAAAGTTTTTATTAAAAACAAAAAACCAAAAACCATCAAAACATCAAATTGCATGCCTCGGTTTGGCATCCCAATGGAACAAGGCTGGTGGGAGCAAGCACGTTTCTCCCACCCACGTCTCCCCGCCTTCATTTCTCTCTTCCCTGCTGTAGCTTTTAAACCCATTGGCCAATTTTAATGAAAGTTGGCTCCAAAATTAAATTTCCGATTGGTTTTGATGAATTTCAAATTCATGGCGGAGTCGCTGAGCCCGTGAGCCGCGCTCTGGGCTGGGAGCTCCCGGGCGTCTCCTTGGCTGCTCTTTGAGCAAGGACAGGTTCTTCATTCTCATTTTGTTTCTCTTGCCCAGGTTCCTGTTTGTTTTGCTTGGACCGGAAGGAAAAGCCCATCAGTACCACGAGATCGGCAGGTCCATGGCGACTATCATGACGGATGAGGTGCGATAAGAGATAATCTCTGGGTCATTCTTGGCTTTCTTTGCCTCCCCATTTCCAGTGGGAGATCTGGGGAAAATTATCTTGTATTTAGCCAAGAGCTTACTGCCCTGGTCAGGAGTTCCCAGACGGGTTGTCCTCTCACCGTGTTGTCTCCTGTTGGCAGGTTTTCCATTGTGTTGCCTATAAAGCCAGGAACCGGGATGACCTCGTGGCCGGCATCGATGAGTTTCTGGATCAGGTCACGGTCTTGCCACCGGGAGGGTGGGATCCAGCAATCCGAATCGAGCCCCCAAAAAGCGTCCCTTCGCAGGTGGGTGCTGTGCAGGGGGGATGGTCGGGGTGGCGGACGGCTGGGGATGCTCTCCAGGGGCTCAGATTCACAAGGTCCCGGTTTGACCCAGTCCAGAAGCAAGACAAGCCACTGGTTACCAATACATTTCTTTGTCTTATTTCCATTTGAACAGGAAAAAAGGAAGATGCTGAGAGCTCTCGATGGCAGTGCTGCTCACAGCGAGCCGGAGAAACACAGTGGTCCTGAACTGGAGCGGACGGGCAGGTGGGAGCTTTCATAGTTTGGGTTTTTTGGTTTTTTTTCTGTTTACCTTTAAAATCTGAGTGTGGACCTCCCTTCCAGCAGGTTTTTGGCGTTGGTTGGTTCAGGGAAGGGGCTTCTCGTTAGCGGCTGGGCTGGTGGGAGATGGGGGCAGCTGGTCTCAGCCGCAGCATCATTGCACCCAGGTTTTCCTGGTTTCAGATGGAAGCAGATGTGTCAATACCTCCAGGCAGAGCTCTGCTGCTTCTCAGAGCAAGGGAGTGTTGCACTAAGAGGGGATGGGCTCCCAGGTTGGATCCTTTTTTGTTGGAGGAGTTTTTTGTGTGCATGAGTTTCTACTGGCTATAAAATGGGAGGAGGAGACTGCTGCTTTTTCACGATGAAAGTCAGTCTGTGCTTGCGATTGCCCTTCTGCAGCAAAGGAAACACCATGTGGTCTCCCAAGAGAACATTCTATTTTTTTTCCTTCCTCCAGGCTCTTTGGAGGTTTGATCCTGGATGTGAAACGAAAAGCTCCGTGGTTCTGGAGCGACTTTCGGGATGGTCTGAGCCTGAAGTGTCTGGCGTCCTTCCTCTTCCTCTACTGTGCCTGCATGTCCCCCGTCATCACCTTCGGGGGGCTGCTGGGGGAGGCAACCGACAACCAAATCGTGAGCTCCTCTCTCTTGGGGGGTCCTGTAGGGGGAGGATGAAACTCACGTGAAAGTTGTTGCTGCAGGGAATTGGCTTTGGGGGTATTTTTCCCTAATGATTTATTTGCTCCCTGCTGCCTCTCCTCCCCGGACAGAGTGCCATGGAGTCGCTGCTGGGCGCGTCCATGACCGGCGTGGTGTTTTCCCTCTTTGCTGGCCAACCTCTCACCATCCTGGGCAGCACCGGCCCCGTCCTTGTGTTTGAGAAGATCCTCTACAAGTTCTGCAAGTAAGGCCAGCTGCCACCTCCAGGTGCCGCAAGAGCCCTCAGAAGAAGGCGGTGATGGAGAAAAGATGGTTTTCTTGTGTTTTTCTTAGTGGTAGTTGTTAGATTTAAGCTGTTCCCTGTGTCACGGACATTGCACACTGCTGTGTTAGTGTGTGATGGTGCCAGAGCCACCCGGCGATTATTTTATTTAAAAAGTAGGAGCTTTGCACGGGAAATGGGTATTTTCCACATTGGTCCTTTTGTTGTGATGACTTTGACGTGGAAGAACCACCCTTATTGCAATTAAATTTATTATCAAGCCCCAGTTTGTTGGTAGCAGGTGGCTGGTGCAGAACCAGCTGCTTTTGGTGTTTAGGCGTTGGGGTGATGTGGGAGAAACCACCTTCCACAACAGCGATCTGACCTCTAATAGCCTCCAAGGCTTTAACACAAGATAATTGTTAAATAATGATAATTAAATAATTGGCCTCTCCTCCCGCGGGCCCACACCCCATACCACAGCCCCGGGGCCGTCTGTGAAGACACAGGAACCGCATTTTCCATCTGCAGCCTTTACACGCTCCTGCGTTGCTCCCAATTTTCCCCCAAGGGGGACATGGC